TAACCCCTTACTTATAAATTACTTGTGTGTGTGTGTGTATGTATATGTATATGTGTAATTATATATATATAATTTTTGACATTAAGACCTCAAAGTGAGCACTAAGAGAATTACAATTAGCTTTTTCCCCTCCCCCGCCCCATCTTTAACAGCTTTATTGAGGTACACTTTGTATACCATGAAGGTCACGCATTTTAAGAATACAACTTGGGCATTTTTAGTAAATTTGCAGAATTGTGCGACCATCGCCACAATCCAGTTTTAGAAACTTGTCAGCACCCCAAATTGATTAGCTCTTAATAGTGTTCTCAGGGTGTAGGAAAATGCTCCACCCACTGCGGATGTGCCTGCAACCAAGGTACATGCCCTTGACCGGAATCGAACCTGGGACCCTTCAGTCCCCAGGCCGACGCTCTATCCACTGAGCCAAACCGGTTAGGGCGGAAAATGCTTTTTGATTTCCTGGTCCAAATGAATAGGTCTAGAGGCATCTGTGAGAGACTGAGGGCAAGTTAAAGTTAGACTTCATAGCTTTTAAACCAGATCCTCATCCTAAATCCATTGACTTTAAAGCTTTTGACACTTGGCCCCAAGCTGACTACCAAGTGAAGTGTGGGTCTGTGGGTGGGGAGGGGAAGATGGAGGGGAAATCCTCTGCTTCCTCAAGTGAAAAAGGGGTGGTGTCCATTTAAAGAGATGGAAGTGGAAACAGTTTGATAAGACTCAAATAGAATGGGAAAAAACAAGTTAAAACAAAGAAGGCAAGCAACTGAAGAAGAATGAGAGGGTCTTTTTATAAGTCAATTAGTTGAAACTAGATGCTTAGTTCCCAGGCTGCTTCCCACCTGGAGGCTGGCTGCCTTGTGCTTTAGTGGAAAAGAAATGGGAAGTCTCCGCAGTATTGAAGTATAACAATAAATCCCTCCATGCCAGGGGAACTGCAATATATGGCATAATAAAAGTAAATGTTATGGCACTTGACTTCAAAGCCTATAATCTCCTATTCAATTGGAACATAGAGTCTTCCGTCAGCAAGAGAAAACCGGACAATTTAATTTTTGCTTCTATTCATGCAGAGGCCTGTGTTGGAGCTCATCTATGTTTTCTATTATGTTCCTTGAAATATGGCTGTGTAGTTTGATACAAACAATATCTCAAACTGACATCAACAACTTAGTTTGGGACCAACTGATTTCATTCTAAATTATCGTGGGCTGACAGATGCTGGTAGCTACCCACACAGGGTCTGAAAAAGCCATGTTCTCTAATTTAATATCATAATAATTTAAAATTATAGCTTTATTAAGAGGAACATATTTATTTATAGCTAACACTGAAGATTGCGAATGGCTTTCAGGACTGTGTTCTGCTATTCACCACATTTGGACAGCTTCAATTGTCTGAAGCACTAACAAAACATTCTGGTACAAGTAATTTCCTTCTTGATTCAAAGCAATAAACACATGCCACAAAAGCAGAGATACAAAAGCAGCCCTGAAGAGAGCCAGTCGCTCTGCAATGTCCTATTCTCCTAAAGAGAACGTCTGCATTTGGGCCTAAAGACATTTTGCTCAAAATCCTCTCCTCCCTTTATATACGGTACATAAATTATATCTCAATAAAGCTGTTATTGGCTCCTGTGATGTTGCAAGATTCCACTTTTCCTTTATATACACGTGGGCTTCCCGCAGCAGGATTTGATCTTCAGCTCTAGGTTCTTTTTTCTCATGGTAAGGATTTTCTTTTTCTTGTTGGCTTTATCACTTCTACACAAACATTAAAAATACACATCTCTATCTTTTTGCAGCCCACCCAGTGATTCTATATAATTTTTGAAGACAAGATGAAGAAGTTGGTAGAGATTTGGTGTTCTTTACAGATACAGAAGCTGAAGTTCAGAGTCTGTAGTTTATAGAAGGCCACCCAGCCAAGCAGCAGCAGAATCCGCAGCACCCAAACCCAGGTGTGCAGACTCCAACTCTGTGTTCTTGTCTCATGGAAAGTCCTAATCCCTACCTGCCATCCTGCCTGCCTCCCCAGCCTCAGCCCTCCATTTTCAACCTTCATCCAGCACTGACATGGGGATGTCTGATTAAAGCTCAAACTCAACATGCTTCAATGAATTCATCACATTTGCCCCAAAACCAGTTCTTCCTCCAGACATGCTTATTTCTACCCAACTCAGTTTTTCCCCAGCTACCCAACTTTAAAACCTCATAACTAACAAATCATTCTCTCCTCCTACCCACTCCCAAATCCAATCTGTTACAGAGGCCAAGCCATAATGCTCTCGCATTGCTGCTTCTTCATCTATCCCTTCTTTCATAATTCTTTTGTGAGCAGTTTAATTCAGGCTCTCTCTCACTGTCTCTCATAGGAACTATCAAATAATCTGACTCTTGACACCCATATTTTCTTCATCTCATTTGTCCCAAAAGCTCCATCAGTGATATCTGATTTTTTTTACCTGATCATGTTCCTTCAGTGTCAACCATCAATGGCTCCCACTGCCTGCAGAGTCAATTACAAATCCATCCCTCTCCAACTCAATCCAGTCCTGACTTCCA